TCATGATTATGATTAAATTTAAGATTATTTCGAACAACACGAAAATTATCACTTATAATTGTAATAAACATCGTCATACAAACAAATACAATTGTAAAAATGAATAAACTAAAACAAATTGGACCAAGAATTGGATCAGCATCAAGTAATTGATATACATCAAATTTCATTAATGTCATTTCAAATAACATTTGTGTTGTATGTAATAAATTGGAACATGTATAAAGTTTTGAATTAAGTATTAAATAAAATAATATTATATATGCTAGAAATATAATCATAAACATGAATAGAAATGAAATAATTTCTTTCCAAGCATATTTAAGTGTTTCAGTAAAAAGTAATAATCTCGGATGAAATCGAGCAAGTCGAATAAGTTTAATTGTACCAAAAAAACAACAAAATGATAATAATAATGTAAGTATATCATTAATATAAACAGCTGATTGTAAATTAATATAACTAAATCCTTTTGTTTCTTGAAAAAGTTCTCCAATATGATTTGATTCTTGAAATCTTACGATATAAATTCCAACACATGTCCATGAACATATTATAATTCCAATATCAATAAATGACCATATATGACGAAAATAATTTTGTTTTTCTCGTACAATATTTTGAATTTGTATACACATCATATAAATTATAAATAGTATATAAAAAATTGCACATATTATTTGTCCGAGTGATGTAAATACTAAAAGTATATACAAACAAAAAACATCAATAGAATGAATATATAGAAAGAAATTACATTGAAGAGAAAATGGTTGAAAACTAGATTGTGTATAAACACCACCTGTTGATGAAAATTCAGTAAGAAATGTTGCAGAAGTAAATAATTGTATATTTGGATTATATAATGTAAACTGAAGAAAAATAGCTCGTGTTTGACTATCAATCCAACTTAATTGATAAAGTTGAGAAAGATTTGTTTGTAAATCAACTAATCGACCACGAAATTCATAAACATAACCACCACTACCATAGGTTCCAAATTTACCTATTGAAATATATGTTTTTAAATTACCTCCTGTTTGATAAATAAATGCTTGTTGAATTGATGAACTATATATTTGATTTGTTTGATTAGTTAAATTCCATCCAGGTTGAAATGAATCTTTTTCATTACTTAATAAACTATAATCATATTGACATTCGGATTGAATAGACATATGTTGAATATGACATGATTGAGATTTAATACGTAATTGTCTCATTGTTGCCCATCCAATAAATCGATTTGTTTTATCATTTAAATAACCACTTAAATTTCGAGGTGGATCACCATTATACCATTGTTGAGCACGAATATTTTTCACGAAATTATTTTCTAACCAATTCCAATATTGGCCCATTGTTGAAATCTATAAAATTCATATATATATATTCTCTCGACTGTAGAGAGGGTCATATGAAATAAAATAGTTTGTGTCAAGGTCAAAAAAGGGTGTGGGTGTGTGTATTTAGCTCGGATTCATTACCGATACCCATACTCACACCCAGATTCATACACCCACATTCTCAAAGTTGAGACGGCGGGCGTTACTTGTTTATAGTACAAATCAAAAATACCTTTGTATAATCATCATTGGTACTTCTAGTATTTAGAAAAAAGTTTCGTAAATGTTGAACTTGTAAGAATGCATTTTGATTTTTATTTGAATAAATAATAACATAGAGTAAACAAAGATAACCAACATAATTTAATATTTCTCGTATAATTGCCCACATTTGTACATGTTTTAAACGTTGTTCACGTGCAAAAGCTACTTCACCTTCTTCAAGACGATTGGTATTATTTCCTGATCGATGATTAAACGGGGAAATATCCTACAAAAACTTATTAAATGAAAAATTAATTTTTAATGAAAAACAAACTTCAATTGCAGGAAAATATTCTTCATCATGAGCTAAATCTACATCATCATTCATATATTCTGCTGCTTCTTTATCATTATCTGGTTTTCGAATAATATAAGCAAAAATAACAGCCACTGATATAATCTACACAAAACCAAAATACAAATAAAATATTTTCTAATCATAATTCATTTACTTTAATCGGTTGAACAAGAAAAATTGATGAAAAAAATCCACTAACTAATGATGTTAACCATTTTTGTGTTTTTAAATCACCAAATTCAATTCCTTTGACAATAATAAAAAATATCGATATAACTGTAAGTAATAATGAGAAGCCATATGCAAAAAAAATACACCACCAAGGAAATTTGATTTGACCTTTTTTCTTTTTATCATATTCAATCGATGTTTTCCTAAGTATAAAAATATCTTCTTTTTTTTTCAATAGAATAAATTTTATTCCTTACGTTATTGGTAATTGTTTGAGTTTAAATATAGCTTGATGTAATGCTGATACTTGCTTTTGATTATGTCGAGATCGAATACGTCGAAAAAATTGAATAAGTAACAGACTAGGAACAAATACAAGTATTTCAACAATTACACCAATACCAATCTAAATATAAAACTCTACGATTAAATATATATTAAAAAAATATGAGAAACTTGTTGAGGTGTAATATAAAGAGGACCAAATGATAGACTTGTTGTATTATTCGCTGCTTTTGCTTCTGATATTTGATTGTAATACAGAATATTTAGAAACATTGATTGAAATAAGAAAACAAAACAACATGTACATCGTTGAACTCGTGTAAATTTATCTGATGGTGGTCGACTAAAGATTGAAAACCAAAGATGACCTTCCGATACACTATAATATGCTTTTTTTGCTAAAAGATAAGAAAATTCTTGTTTTTGTAATTCACCAGCAATGGGTAAAAGACGTTCAATCTATATGTATACAAGAAATTTTTATATCGAAACTTAAAATGCAACCTACAAGTCCATCATCTTTTTCAACAGCTAACCATTTTTGACAGATAAAATAAGATTTTTCCATTGTTTGTAAATCACGAACAATAATATATTTAAGAAACCATGATGCTGAACTACCTGGACCTGTATTATCATGCCATAAACGAATATAATTCAATGGTCCCAATGATTTTTCAACAGACATAACAAATGAATCGACTCCTCCGCGTTGAAAAATCTTTCTATTCGGATCAGCAAATATTCGAACTTGAGTTTCATCTTGATCACCAGCTAGTATAAAATGTACCTATAATGTATATTAATAATACAAAAATATATTTATAATGGTTATACTTTTGATTTTGTTCCTGAACGTTTTCGATGACCAGTAAAAACAATAATTTGATAAAAATATTGATCTTGTTTTAAATTATCAGGTAGAATTGTTACTCCTAATTTTTCAATATCTTTTTTATCTTTATAACGTGCATAAATAATTAATAAGAAGTATATAATAGATAAACATATAACAGTTAAATAAATAGTTTTGTTTCTATTAAAACCAGCATTAGCAAAAACATAATTCCAATTAATAGGCTCGGGTAAAACAAGAAAACCACCTGCGAATGTTGTTAAATGAGTTGAAAAACATTGTGTTTTATAATGATTTGTTAAAGGTCCAACTAGTAATCCATCTGATTGCCAATTATTATTTTTATCTAAATAATAACAACCGGATGTATATGTACGAAGTTCATAATTTTTGGTAAAATTAAATGATTGATCTAGAATGGGTGGAGTATTAATTGTTAAATTTGAACAAAATTTCTTTTTTTCAGTTGAATTTAATTCACGTAAACCAAATATAACTGATTGATGACCAACTGTACGTTGATTATCAATAAAATAATTATAATGATCATCACTGGTTAAATCTAGAAAAACAATTATTAAAAAAAAATCGGCTCGTCATGTCATAAAACTTACTTGAAGGACAAAATAATGACCAACCATCAATTCGATTGATTGAACTATTTAATTGAGGTTTACTATCAAATTTATAGATTAATAAATAAGCTAGAGTTATTTGTAAAGGATGCATTTCAAAATGAAGTGAAACTGTTATATTAATATTCGATTGTGTTATATTAACATAATGTAAATTAAATAATATATGATTAAGT